TTTTAGTCCTTTGGATATGAACGGAGGAGTGGAATAACTGGGTCAAATAGTGCAACTTCTAAATTTTAAACTTATTTTTCATCACTTTGGTTGAAGACATGTTTTATAAGCAAAAGATTTTATTTTTGGATTTCATAAGGATCATATTGCATATTGCATTTGGGGTTGTTTTTTCACTCAACATTGTTATTAATGTTCAATCATGTTGCCAACTAGTTATAGCTGATTCATTTTCACTGTGGAAAATTGTGTTATTGAGTAAATAACCATCCATTTTTCCTTTCAAAGGACACTGGGTTATTTCCAGTTTTTTTGCTGATTCCAACAGTGCAGCTGTGAATGTTCTTTCATTAATTTCCTGGTACACACGATTCCTAGGAGACATACTAAGGAGAATTATTGGAATGTGAATGTTCACCTTTACAAGGGATGTACCAATCTTAACTCCCAGCAGCAATGTGTAAAAATCTAATTCCATTACATTTCCAACAGGTGATATGGCCAAATTACACTAACCTAATGGAGGTAAAACTTGGTTTGCATTTCCCTGGTTAAATCTCTTTTTCTGTTGTTAGTGGGGATTGAACCTAGGGACACTTTGCCACTGATCTAAATTCTGTTTTTCTTTTGAGACATGATCTTGCTAAGTTTGCTAAAGCTGGCTGACCTCAAAATTCCAATCCTCCTGCCTCAGCCTCTGGAGCCATTGAGATTACAGGCATGTGCCATCCTCTTCTTGTCTCAATTGCCTTTTCACTTCGATACCTTAATATGTAGTTTAGTTTCAAGATTTAGAATTTATCTATTCTTTTCTAGCTGGTGCTTTGTGTGTCCATTTTAAAAGCTTTTCTTAACATTTCAAAATTCAACAAGTTATTCACCTACATTCTTATGAAATCCCAGTTTGATTTTTTTTAAGTCTTTCACCTGGAATTGAATTTTATGCATGGCATGGCATGAGGTAAAGAAAATACACATGGCATTAATTTTTTGAAAATTTCCCAAATTGTTATCTTTTTCCTTTCAACATAGGAAAAGTTCTAAACAGCATCTGCTCCCAAACTAAACTAGGTGTATTCATGGTTCACAAACTTGTTTTGTAGATTATTTCTAGTTTTAGAATTAGCCTTTTTGGCTCAAAATGTAAAGTCTGGCTCATCTGGACTTCCCTGAATGTGACCTGCATTCCCTCTCTGCGTGCAGTCCTTAGCTGTGTAGACAGTGCATTAATACCCATGAGACTTCTGCTAAAAATAATGCACATTCCTGGGCTCTAATCTAAAATATTAGAATCCTTGAAAATGGAAATAGGTATTTCAAACAAGTTATTAAGTGATTCTAAAAGCATTAGAAATGAAAACTACAGGCTGTTAGAAGGGAGAACATAGTCCACTTCTTCACAATTTCAGAGTCCCCAAACATTTGAGTTCACACTGTTTTCTTAAATCGGTAGCTTCTCTTGATGCCCTTATACATGCTCTACTGTCTATGTGGAGCGCATTCACTCTGCAAATAGTAAACAAAAACATACATTTCTGAAGAGCTTTAATGGTGGATGGTTCAAGTCAACACCCAGTTCCGTTAGAAAATATAAGCACCTACTGAAAACATTAATAGGGGCTATAATTTAAGTGCTGGGATTGAAATTAATGCTGAGAAGCCTTTGATTATATTAGCCTACTTAAGTTCGGGCTTTCTGAAATGTCATGGAATAAACTATGATCAAATATTTAAATCTCTGGCATCACCTAGGGTTAAGTATGCTTGAATATATTCATTCTTCATTTCTGCATCCCAAAGTCACATATACTTACATGTCCAGCATGATTGAACATCCTCTCTCAAAATTGAATAGTTATAGTTATACAGGATGGGTACAAATATCTTCCAAATGCTTGGCCTATCAAAGATTTATTCCAGTAACTTCCAAATTCTAAAACACTTTGGGGCTCATCGTCAGCAAACAGACTGCAAAGCATTCAAATAAGTAGCAAAATCAGATTTGGATTGACACAGGTAGTATTAGGTTAAAATAGATGTACTCAATTACTACCTGGTTAGCCAAGTTCTCTTAGAGGCCTATCATGGAGTTTGTTAAAAACCAAAAATTTACCTAGACCCAACAATCTTATTTTTATGTCTTTTAACATTTATAGGGAGGTTAGAATTAACTAATGATATTGTGCTTGTTAGAAGTAACACTAAAGATAAAAACATAGATTCACATTTGGGAAAAATGACCCAACTAGCCATTTTCCAGTACTTGGTCTCATCACACACATTAAGACTGTATTTCAAAGCTACCATTGTAATTTCCTATATGATGTATATATGGCATATCCTACAGGAATGTGATAAGCTCTAAGTAAAACAGCATCAAAGTTTTTAACACATTGCACACTCTCATGCAGTGATTATGATGCACTTGCATTCAAATGAATTACTGTTTTCCCCCATACACAAATCATTGAAATGATGCTGTTAAATGCTTAAGTCTCTAAAACTTCTCAGATTTTTAAGAACACCTCACCTTTAAGTTTCCAGTTATTCTGTTTCACTTTCAAGTTGAGGTGTGACTACAAATAATACTAAACTACATCTTCCAAATTAGTCTTGATTAGTTCGAAAATATTTTGGGCTCTTGTGAGACTGCCAACTATTTGTAGGGAAGTCAGGGAGGAAAAAATATTGAGCCCTTAAAATTAAGTCACTTAATATTTAATTTTCTTATCCTCTCCTTCCCCAACTCTTACGATGTATATAGAATAAGAAATAACAAAGCTGCCCCTAGACAAGGGTTACAGGAAATTCCTTCCTTTTCTCTAAGTAGAGCACTGTTTTACTCTCCTAGGACAACTGTGATCTTTCTTTTTTAAAAGAAGTTCCAATACTTCACCCACACAAAACATATCACTGGATTTTTCAATTTCCTGGTGTTACCATGTTATGTTGACAAAAACAGACATAAAGCCTTGATTTGGGACAATTAGGGAAATAAGTTATAAACAAATTTATTACTCAAATTCCAAGGGAAAAAAATCTCAAGTTGGAAATCATTCTTCATTTATTGGCACTACTATGTAGAAAACATTAAATCACTATTATCAATGAAGTACTATCACATTTATTTCAGAAATGAACTAATTTAGATGACTAATGCCTATAAATAGCTAATAGGCAAACTTTGAAAAGTTTTGGATTTATTTATAATTTATTTGAATGAGATCCCATCCTTAAGTCTACTAGATTAATTCTCCTTAGCTATAAAAACGATTATTTCACCAACCTGGCCTGGGGAGTCAGGAGAAATCAACAGGTAAGGTAGGAACTGAAGAAGATGCACTGTTTTCCCAAATGCATGAGATCTTTTCTCCTGGAAATAAAAAGACCCCAAGGCCTCCATTGCACTTTTATTTGAATGTACTATTTGGGAAAATAGTCCCCAAAGGCCGGTATTTCCCAATTTAATCTGAGATCATAATAAAACAAGCAACAAAGCAGTGTTTGGAATTTCAGTTTCTCACCCTTATCACCAAGACTCACTGCCTCCCATCATCAATATTTATTGAGCATTTACAGTGTACTAGGCACAATAGAACATACAGAAAACATTGTCCCTGCTCTTGAGGAGCTTACATTCTAAAAGGGGGAAAAAAATACAACTCTTTTAAAATGGAATTTTTGTTTGGTGTTTTCTGTAAAGTACTGAGGAAATATTCTGCAGGGTGAGCTTTGGGTATAACTTAGCCCCATCATTATTTAAAGAGAGGAAGAGGAAAGATTTTAAAGGCAGACAATGACAGACCATTCAGGATTGGTAGGGTTTACAGGGAGATAAACACAATCTCATCAACTAAGGAGAGATGTGCTGCAGTAAAGAGGATGTGGGAAATAGTTGGTGGGATGCAAGCAAAGGAAGCAGGGTGGGTATCTTAGACATTGAGTGGAGCCAGAAAGATCATGCGGCCTTTTCCCAAGTACACGGCCACCAAATAGGAATGGTTGGTGACAAGACAGAAGGCTAAAAAAGAAAGGTAATCTTGTGCACCTGACAAAGGATCAAAATTGAAGGCAAGCCATAGAATATCAAGAAATTCTTAAAATCCAAAATGATTTGGAAGCACAAAACTTTCAGTTAATGCTACCCAATGTCATGATGGGTCAAGAACATTGTGGCTTCCTAAGTTAGAAAATGCCATGTACCAAAATTCTGAATGGAA